TTTCCGAGGTGGTATCACTACGGAAGTAGATTGCCCAGCCTTCCTTCTGAGGAGTGGCTGGTGGTTTGAACTGCCAGCCCTCTGGTTAGCAGTCAGATGCCTTAGGCACTATGCCACCAGAGCTCCTGATATTTGGTATAATAATCAGAAACTTGTCCTAGCAATAGCTAAGTTCCTGTTTTCAAATACTTGGTATAAATACTGAGAATTTGAAAACAGGAACTCAGTTATTGGTGGGACAAGTTTCTGATCAGAGCAAGGGGGATGAGATCCCAGTGGTAGGTATTTGCCAAGGATGGAAAGTGAGACCTAAGAAGGTAAGAGTTGTTTTGCAATGCAGTGGACTAAAACAGATGACTTGTTATGTGTTGCAGATTGGTTATACAAATGTTCAGTTCAGAAACTGGTGGTAGTCATCTCAAATATTGAAAGCGGTGAGGTCCTTGAAAGATGGCAGTTTGATATTGAGTGTGACAAGACTGCAAAAGATGACAGGTATGTATGAAATTATTTTTACTATTATCTTTTCCAAAACTTGTTTTCATTATTAGATGAGTTCTAAATATATTAAACTAGTTTTGTGTAGGTTGATTGCATAAATTGATTCTAATGCAAGTTTCATGTAATCTTCAATTTCCTATAGAAAAGACTTGCACTCAGTTCAGCACATCATTGATTTGTATAGGTGGTATTCTCTAACATAATTTTCCCTTAGTCTATATCATTGAATTCTAAACTTTAGTATTTGTGGTGATATATGGAAAACTATACAAGATATACTAGATGGGCCATTTAAGGAGTGTACTTAAATCTAAAAGATTTTCTTAGACTCTCCCCCAGCTTAAGATTCTACTCTACCACACTTCTTTATGTCATGAACTTTATAAGACGTGTTCAGGACATAAATATTCATAAGTTTCTGAATACTCGAGACTCTTGAATGGAGAATGCTGATTATTATGTGCTGACGTCTACCAGTGTCCTGGACATACTTATCTACAAACTCAGAACCATATTTTTTCTCATAATGGAATGTACTTTGTTTCTGAAGCCTTTAGTTTTATTTAAATTTTTAGATTATGAAAGTAATTTGACATGCAACTTTAATATTTTGGTTGAGGCAATTGGAAATTTTACTTTAAGTATTACTAAAAAACAAAATAATGATACCAATTGAATATTTTATGTCACTGTCGTCAAGTCGAACCTGACTCATAGTGATCTCTCCGTGGGTTTCCAAGGCAGTATCACTACAGAAGTAGGTTGCCCAACCTTCCTTACAAGGAGTGGCTGGTGGGTTTGAACCGCCAGCCTTCTGGTTAGCAGTCAAATGCCTTAGGCACTATGCTACCAGAGCTCCTCTGTTAGTTCCTAGTATATTTTAAATAACTTGTTGAAACCCAAAATATACTAATTAATTTGATTTCTTTGTAGTACACCCAGAGAAAAGTCTCAGAAAGCTATCCAGGATGAAATCCGTTCAGTGATTAGACAGATCACAGCTACTGTAACATTTCTGCCACTGTTGGAAGTTTCTTGTAAGTATTTATACAACTTCTCATTCATTTAAATTTGTGGGGAAAGAGTAAGCTGGTTATTAATTTTATTAATTTTTTTCTTAATGTAATATAAATGGAAGAAAAAGCATTATAAAACAAAAGTACATACATTCTAAAAAATTGAGAAATGCTGAAAAAATAAGTGAAAACATTCACAATACCCATTCTAGTATAATTCCTTGTTTTTTTTTCTCAATACGTTATTACTATGTAATTAAAACCACAGCTGTTAACTGTGGCTTGCTCTATAAACTTGGTTATTCCTTCATTCATCAGATATTTACTGAATGCCTCCTATGGTGTAGTGCCTAACACACTTAATTGCTAAGCAGAAGGCTGGTGGTTCAAACCCGCCAGCCTGTCCTTGGAAGGAAGACTAGGCCATCTACTTCCATAGAGGTACTGCCTCAGAATCCCAAGGAGGGGTTGCTATGAGTCAGAACCAACTCAACAGGAGTGAGTTTGGTCTTGGGGAGCTCTGGGGGCATAGTGCCTAAGGCATTTGACTGCTAACCAGAAGGCTGGCTGTTCAAACCCTCCAGCCTCCAGGAGTGTTCAGTCCACTCCTCAGAAGGAGGTTGGGCAATCTACTTCCATGGTGATACTGCCTTGGAAACTCAGAGGGATTGTTGTGAGTTGGCTCCAACTCGAGGCAGTGAGTTTTTTTGTTGTTGTTGTTTTTTGATTTTTGTTTTTCTTATCTACCAGACAGTGGTCTGAGTACTGGAATACAGTAGTGAATAAAATAAGATGTTAGCTCTCCTATGACATACATTTACTTTTTTTCCCATCTGATGATATATTTATTGCAATATTTTTAA